AAAAAGATTAGACTGGAAAGAGTAAGTAGGGAGGTAAGAAAAAGTTTGGTATCTTTCCTGATATAAGGGATTATAGATACCTATTCCTCCGTCCCTCTCGTAGAGCCTGGCAAACTACCAAAAGTATCCCTCCCACATGGCAGAGCCTGGCAAGCTCCCCGTGGTGTATTCAATATGCCAAAAACAGTAACAATAAGTCTCACAATAGAGACGTTACTAGTGCCCCCTGGAGCAAATTGATGAACAAGGGGAGGACAGTGCTACCGTGCTACAGCATACTTTACTTGACCATGCATTGTGGAAGGCAATATTAACCACAAATGAGGAACACATGAAATACATAACAGCTAGCCTAGACACTGAGATCTTGGGTTGTTCTTCCCTAAGAAATTTCTGCTTATAACTGAGATAGAATATAATCCAGAGAAATCTACTCAGTCTAACAATGCTGAAGTTTGAATTCATAAGTTTCAAATGGACATGAAAGAAAGTCTGTTTTCCAGCTATCTCAATATATTAAGTGTTGTATAGGAAAAAATAGTTTTAAGAGAGAATAAGCACTGGTCCTTCCTTCTGAAAAAAGTCAACACTAAATAAAACTCTAGAGAATAAATGATATTTCCAGACATCTTTTAGGTTATTTGCATTTTCTTTGCAATAACCTCTTAGTCTGCAAGAATATCTTCTTTATATCACAGATATCCAAATTTTGCTTCAATTTTTGAGCTGTCTATTCTGGTCATGTAATGAATGAGTGAGGTTCAGGCAAAACGAAAACACTGTTACTTACTGGTTTGGTCTGTATGGTCTAAAGCAGTCATTTTTACCCCTCTTCCTCCCTCACTTACCACAACTAAACCAATGCTGAGTTATGCCAATTTTAGCATGTAAATATTTCTTGTGTTTATCTACATCTTTGTAACCATAGTTCATGTCCTTAACATCTCTTGCCTAGACTACCACAACTGTATGTTAACTGGTTAGCTAGTCTTTATAGTTTTGCATTCTTTAAATTTATCTTTTTTGTTTTTGCAAAAGTGATTAAGTAAATTAACTATCACTTTTCTGTTTTAACTACTTCAGTAAATCCTCACTTGCAGGAGAGAGCTCAAACTCTCAACTATGTTTCTTTGTCGGTCTTATCTTTTATAATACATTGTCTAGAAAATTGAGGCATCTGTAATTCCCAACATATGATTCTTTTGGGTTGCCTTACTTCTTAGATGTACACTGCTCCTTTTTGCTCATCATTTCCCCAATCCCCTTCTTCACCTCCACTCTCCCACCTCATTTGGCCCCAAATACAAAGATTAATCTTAGCCTAACATACACTAGGTAAAATCTTTTTAGGTCAATGTTTGCACACTTCTTCACGAGTCATGTCAGTAGTTCTCTCCTCCATAATTCGTTAGCTGCTTCCCCAGTTGTGCTCTGCAACACTTTCTAGATCACTGTGACACATTTTAAAACTAGCTTTATATTAACTTATATTTATGTGTAGTTCTTTTCCACTGTAGGCTGTAAGTTTGCTGCCTAAAGAAAGAAACCGAGAGCTTTTTATATTTGGGAAATTATTTTTCCTCTTCCACTTGCATGTTGGGAAGGTTTCACACCTTGAGTTATAAAAGACAGATCAGGCAAACAACTACAGTAACAATTCTAGAAATTGTCTTCTTTTTACCCTGCTTCATCTCACTGTGTTGTATAGGAAAAAATAGTTTTAAGAGAGAATAAGCACTGGTCCTTCCTTCTGAAAAAAGTCAACACTAAATAAAACTCTAGAGAATAAATGATATTTCCAGACATCTTTTAGGTGCTTTAGTGCTGGAAGAAAGAGGAAGCCAAACTGGGTAACCATTTAGGACTGTCTCCAACTCTACTCACTTTTACTGCCTATGCTCCCACTTTCACCCCACAAAAGTACCATTCTTATCTTCTTTTCAAGCCATCTCTTAAAGATCTATCAGAAAGAATTTGGATGACAGTTAAAACAGAAATCAGGGGCTACAGTGCCTCCCGGCAGGTCATCCTGCACCTGTGGGGTGAGTGCAACAGCAGCCTGATGGTGCCTTTAGGTTTCCTGATACCCCCAGATTGCTGCTGTGCCTCTGGCTGGACCCCAACAACTTTGGACCAAGTTTCTAGAGATATTAAAGAGTCAAAAGTTAGGTATGTGGGACCCATGACCACAAACCACTGTGGCTCAGCTATACAAACTCATTTATTGGCCTTGCTTCTGAGACCCATAAATAAATCTTGAAAGAGATCAAAAGAAGGCCTTTTAAGTGCATTAATGGCCGTGATTTAGAGACTCACAAATGAATCTCAGTCTCCCCATCTCATGCCAGACTGATATCACTGGGGCACCTCAAAGGAGGTCAGGTGTGTCCCTTCATCTGTTCCAAATGAACCCCAGCACCTGCAAACATCCAGAATCTAATTGCCACCATGCTCATGGCTGACCTCCACAGGCTCATCTCGAGCCCCCAAAGCACAAGAATGAACCCACTGAAAAACCAAGGTATGTGGAACCAGTGACTGAAAACTCCAGGCTTTTGGAGTCAGGGCTGGGCAACCTCCCGCTATTTCCCCGCCTTTCCAGTTTCCTGGCAGTTACGCCCAAGAACTGCCTCTGGTGTCATTTAAGCGCATTAACTGCCATGATTCAGACAGTCACAAATGAATCTCAGAAGAGAGCAGCATGTCACAGATATAACTCTAGATCCCAAATACTTAAACATTTTAGAAGTCCAGGAGTGTGAGATCACTTTTTGTTGCCGTGTGACATCTCATACTATTCATGGCAAGCAATACAAAATAAAATATTTAGCATCTGCTAAAGGCCAGGCTGGGGTGGTGGTGGGAAGATACAAAGTAATGGAGGTGGGAAGGTGCAATGGTGGTAGGATTGGTGTTGAAATATTGAATGTAAACAATTATTGTGCGCAGCTTTATGAAAAATTTTAAAATTTAAAAAAATTTTTAAAAAAGTAATGCAGAGTTGATGTTTTGATCAGCTTAATTAGTGGCTGAATAAATATCAGTACTCCTATATAAAAAAACCAAAACAATTCAAATAATTAAAAACACAATTCTGAAAGATTCAGCCAGCTAAAGTATACATGTTCAATCTGTGCTCTTTGAAAAGGTAAAGGTGAAGGGATGTTGGCATTTCTTGCCAAGATTTTACTTTTCCCTTGAAAACCAACCAATGGTTCTTTTTTTTTCTTTTTGGGTCACACCCAGCAATGCAAAGGGGTTACTCCTGGCTCTGCACTCAGGAATTACTCCTGGCAGTGCTCAGGGGATCATACAGGATGCTGGGAATCGAACTTGGGTTGGCTGCGTGCAAGGCAAATGCCCTACCCACTGTGCTATCACTCCACTCCCCCCATGGTACTTTTTAAGCAAACAAAACAAAAATATTGTATTTTACCAATACAAGTTAAATTTTGTAATTCTTTCTATGTTCTGTTTACAATGTTTGTAGGGAGTATTTGTTGAAATAATCAAGTAATCTAAAGTTGTTGAGACACAAATTTTGAACAAGAATTTAATAAAATGATAGTCAGGCCTAGCTGCTGGTAAAAATGAGCCAGACAACCATCTTTTGCTTACTAACAATTTAATGAGATCCTATTTTTACACAGTCTAACAGAAGCAGCACAACCATTGTTAATGTAAATGGCCTGGCTAACTGAGAGTGTTTTGGTTTGAGGAAATAAGTTTGAAAACGTCCGTAGATGGTTATGAACTAAGAGTAAGAGGGTAGTTTTTATCTATTAAGTCAATTGGTTGCAAATGGTAATATTCTTTTAAATTTTATATCCTTTCAAATTTTATGTTGTATTTTTTCCCTGAGACACTAGATATCTAGATTACCCTTCATCCCAGAGTATAAGGAGGAGAAGGAAAGAAATACAATGCAGGGGAAGGAAAGAAGAGATAGATGAGAAGCAGTGAGGTAAAGAACAAAAGGACTCATGTACATCAGTGGTTTTAAGGAGTAATAGAGTTATTTATTTATTACTTTATATCCAAACCACAGAGTCAACAACACTGAAATCACAAGACCCAAACTTTAATAACAAAACTTAAAAGGTGCCTATCAAGATGGAAGACTGGGGCAGAGGGGCAATAAGAGCAGGGACTTGGGACCACTGGTGGAGGGAAGTTGACACTGGTGGAAGAATTAGAGATGGAGCATTCTATGTCAAAAACCCAGTGATTAATAACTTTGTAATTCATGGTGCTTTAATAAAAAAATGTTGGAAAAGCTGAAAAGATATGTTTGTGGCTTTCATATAGTTTAAAATTTAGCTTTGAGTTATTTGTTATAAAGTGATGATGTTGACCTAGATAGTCTTCCAATTCTTTATTTACTGTGACAGCATGAAGATTGATGATGGATTAGAGAGAATTCTCATTGGTCTCTTATACATATTGCAAAATAATGGAACAAATATGTAAATTTCTTGAGAAAGCTTTCTCAGAATCTGCTGCACTGATAAACTTTTTAAGTTTTTGCTGACCTCTCATATCTTATCCTTGGAGTGATTAATAAAGTAAAACAGTTGCAAAATATTTTAATTATTTCATAGAGCCTTATTAAACTTTAAAAACAAATATTTCAGGTATTAAAAGTCACTTCCAAATGTTCCTATCACCAGTAAATTAAAGCAACTAAACATAATCAACATCCTAGTACTGACGTGTAGATTGGAAAATTTCAAATGCCTACCTGTGGATTTTAAAGTGAACAGAAAGTCACATTCTGCCTTCTTAGTAAGAGCTGAATTTCCCATTCCAAGGAGGATGAAAATAATATTAAAATGTAAACTTAAGCTGTCAATAGAATTATCTCACAATGAACTCATTTATCTTCATCTACCATGAGAAAGCCTTTATCAGAGATTTTTATAATTTTGTTTATATGTCTTGATGATAAATTTAAAAAATTTATATGTTCTTGTTCTAAGCAAATGATTTTTCCTCTCCAGAAAACCAGATTTTTGTGACGCAGTCACCTATGCTTGTTGTGTACAACAATGCAGTCAACCTTACCTGCACGTATACTCACAACATCTTCTCAAAGGAGTTCCGGGCATCCCTCTATAAGGGAGTGGATAGTGCTGTGGAAGTCTGTGTTGTGAATGGAAATTACTCCCATCCGTTTCGTCCTCACTCAAATACAGGATTCAACTGTGATGTGAAATTGGGCAATGAAACAGTGACATTCTACCTCTGGAATTTGTATGCTAATCAAACGGATATTTACTTCTGCAAAATTGAGGTTATGTATCCTCCTCCTTACATAGATAATCAGAAGAGCAATGGAACCATTATCCATGTGAAAGGTAACATGCACTTCTATGAATGTACCACCCTAAATTAATGATTTCCAACATATTCTTCAAAACTAGGTCATAATCAGTGGTGGGGGTGGATAAAATCCAAAGAGGACAGACAAAAGAGCAAGTCTACATGTTCTAAGTAGTGATATTTTGCATATTTGGACTACTTTAACATTTTCCTATATGTTTAGAAGGAAGGATATTAGCCCTAATGCTATTCTGATATAATTTAATTTGCTTTTTTAAAAAATTTTTCAGAAACACATCGTTGTCCAGTGGTCCCACCTCCTGCATCTACTACAATATTTTGGACACTGGTGGTGGCTGTCGGACTCCTGTCTTTCTATAGCTTTCTAGCAACAGTGGTTCTTAGTATTTTCTGGGTAAGAAATATAGTCTTGTTTTTGTTTAATACTTCCATTGCACAAGCAATCTGGCCATATTTAAGAATTTTGCCCATGTGGTTTATTTTCTGCTTAACATCTGATTATTATTATTTTCTTTTCCCTGCTATGTTTGAATAGATTTTATGCTGGTCTGTCCAACTTTATCAAAGATAAAAATCTGATGTTAGTTCTACTTTCCAGGAGGCACTGATTAGGTAGTCAGACCAAATAAGAACTGAAATGAGTAAACTGGGGTAGTGGTATTAGGAACCATTTTCTTTCTTTGCATTTTTGCAATATAATAATGACAGATAAAACTATTTTAATACAGTCATGCATAAAATATAAATAGCTTAAGGTCCTAGACAACTGCAATCAACAGTACTTTTTGATTCAGGGTCAAAAATCATGAGAAACTTGGTTACTGAGAGTATACATTCAAATCAAGCAAAGAAACTAGGTCTATTTATCTGAGTCATACTTTTATCTCCTTCAATGCAGGTAAATTTTGTGGGGCCAAGTATGTTGCTGTCATTATGAAACCATAATGAGAATTAGACATTTCTGAGCTCTCACCGTTGAATTGGAGTTTTGTCAACTTTTCAAATGATCACACAAGAAATTTAGTGCATTTTAGAAAAAAAACTTTCTTCAATTTTTAATTTTTTATCTCAGCTTGAGCACTTCTTGATGTCGATCTATGATTAAGAAGAATATTTCCCTTAGACACTTAGGTTGGGAGAGGGGGTGGGATAAGATTGGTTCAATATGCGCAAGACATGTTCCTTAATCTCTGTACTATCTCCCCAGTTCCTAGACACTTACTTTTCTTTTTTTTTTTAATTTTTATTAGTAAAATGCCATGAGGTACAGTTGTAGATTTACAGACTTTTGTGCTTGGGTTTCAATTATACAATGATCAAACACCCATCCCTCCACCAGTGCCCATTTCCCACCACCACGGGTCCCAGTATCCCTCCCACCCCCAATCCCCCCATCCCACCCTGCCTTTGTGGCATGGTATTCCCTTTTGTTCTCTCTCTCCTTTTGGGTGTTGTGTTTGCAAAAGAGGTATGGAGTGGCAATCATGTTTGGTCTATAGTCTACTTTCAGCATGCTTCTCCCATCCTGAAAGGATCCTCCCAACACCCTTTATTAAGTGCTCCTGTCTCTATCTGAGATCCCTTTTCCCTTAGCATGTGTGGCTCTCCTCCAAGCCATGGAGCAAAACTCCTGGTACTAATCTTGGCCACTCTTGGGTGTTAGTCTCCTATTTTGTTACTTTATGTTCCCCAGATGAATGCAATCTTTCTATGTCTATCCCTCTCTTTCTGACTCATTTCGCTTAACATGATACTTTCCATGTAGTACCACTTGTATGTAAATTTCATGACTTCATATTTTCTAACAGCTACATAGTACTCTATGTGTAGATGTACTAAAGTTTCTTTAACAAGTCATCTGTTCTCAAGCACTCAGGTTTTTTCCAGATTCTGGCTATTGTAAAGAGTGCTGCAATGAACAAACAAGTGCAGATGTCACTTCGATTATACTTTTTTGCCTCTCCGGGATATATTCCCAGGAGTGGTATTGCTGGGTCAAATGGGAGCTCAATTTCTAATTTTTTGAGAATCGTCCATACTGTTTTCCAGAAGAGCTGAACCGACACTTACTTTACTAGGTGCTTTTACAGAGTGCTATAGAATATTTCTCGCACAGATTACTGTGTTTTCTTTTAACGTTTTCTAGAAGTTAAACATATGTAAGTAAGAGCAGTTTCTTTAATAATATGTTTCACAAAAATAAGAATTATTTCTCTTTACATTCATCCTTCTTTAAATACTGGTATTAAGTACTTTGCGAGCATAACGAATGCTTATCAAATTGATTAGTTAAACCTTTCAAATTATTGACTTAAATGTGCATACCTGAATTGTAGTAATTATATTTAAGTCATTCTTCATATATTTGATCCATACATGGATCAGTGATTTCTGGAAGCCTTTGTGATGGAAAGGAGAAGACTTGGGTTCACAGTCATCAAATCTTTTTTAAGTCCCTGTTGACTTATGGATGATTTTTCACATACCAGTCCCAATTTAGGAGGTTCTAGGAAAAATATGGATGTTTGTCAGGCTGTCTGTTACCTGGTTAGTACCTTTTGTGGATTTGGGAAAAAAGTGGTCTATAGCACAAAGGTAGGGCATTTGCCTTGCAACGCAGCAAACATGGCCGACCCGAGTTCGATTCCTCCGCCTCTCTTGGAGAGCCCGGCAAGCTACCGAGAGTATCTCACCCGCACGGCAGAGCCTGGCAAGCTCCCCATGACGTATTCGATATGCTAAACACAGTAACAACAGAGTCTCCAATGGAGACGTTACTGGGCCCGCTCAAGCAAATCGATGAACAACGGGAGGGCCTTTACCTTTACCTTATTGTTCCTGAAAATAATATATATTTTGTAACTTCTTGAGTATTTATTTACCTTGTCTTAAACAAGTTGTTTAATATTTCTCATGTTCTTTCAGATGTTAATTTAGCTCCTTCATTTTTTAAAATTTTCTGTCTTCAACTAAGTACTGTCCAGCTTTAGCCTCTGTAATGTTTCTCAATGTTTTTAAAATTAAGAATTTTAGTTCCCTCCTCTCCTCCCTCCATTTCACTGGGACTCTCAGCTTCTCAACTTAAAAACCAGGTATAATGGCTCTTTGTGTATCCTTTCAGGACAGATGCTCCTTTGTAATGTGATGACCTAGGTCAAATTAATTTATCAGCTTTACAGGAAGTAGTTTTGGGAACTGCTTTAACTCTCAGAGGACAGAAGGGTAAAACCCATCATTAAAAACATTGTAAATAGAATTAGGATATCAGTTACTGAATTTGGGCACTAATTTACTAAGTGACCTGAATTCCTTTATGAAATCAAAGAAACTTACTATTTCAATTTAGGCAGTTTAAAAAGTTTACTTTCAACTTCAAAATATTGTTGGAATTATGGGATTCTTTTTTTTTTACTGTACTATTAATTCCGAGTCACATTAATCTTACTTCATATTAAGAAAACTTGCTTTGGTCTTGTGCTATCTCACTGGTACCCTGTAAATTTGTAGGTCCCAGAGTTTGGTATATTTTATCTTTGTGAGCTCTCTTTAATTATGGTATCCAATAAGAACTGCCTATTATTACTATCTTGAACCCAGATCTTGTACTCTTTGATCAAAGTGTGAAATAAATGCACAATTGTATTTCATAGAATAGAGAAATATTGTTATGCTTGGTTCACTTTTCCTTGCTCTTTTTACTGTTTATTTCAGCACTTAGCACTAGCAGAACTAGGCAGACAGGACACTAAAGATTCCCCTCAGTTTAGCTATTTCCTGGGTACTTTTCTGGGGTCCTATTTTTGTCTGCTCTGCAATGTATCTTGGTATAAGTTGCTGTTTTCCGGAACTTCCTGAGAGTGTGTGAGGTGCTACTCTAAGCAGTTATAGCTGAGTGGCTTTCTGGGAGCAGCTGCAGATTCTTTTCAGTTCTTGACCTATTGCTGACATTTGAGTAAATAAATGTCCCCTTTGCCAGGTTGCCACAGTCCAGCACCTGTTACTCTCACTCAGTTCACTAAACTAAGCTAGTAAATCTGTTCTTTTAGTCTGAAGGAGTCTTTTTAAAAAATCCTGGTCTTTTCCATTTTCAGTCACAAAATAGGGAGTGTGGATAATGTATTTACAGGTAATATATTCCTTTAAATTCTGTGATTTCTTTCTTTCTTTCTTTCTTTCTCTCTTTCTTTCTCTCTTTCTTTCTCTCTCTCTTTCTTTCTTTCTTTCTTTCTTTCTTTCTTTCTTTCTTTCTTTCTTTCTTTCTTTCTTTCTTTCTGTGAATTGTTTTGTCTGCTATTTCCAGAAAACTAGTAAGTCTGGAGTGGAGGGAAAGGATAGGAGTCACACATCTTTATTTATTTAGAAGATTTGCAGATTTGCTTGTGATTAGAGAAATGCAAATGATTTATTTATTTTTATTGAAATATTGTGTTATATTACTACTAGCAATTATTCCATGTGGACACAATTCTAATACTACATTCATCTTTGGAAGACATTGAATGATAAAGAGCAGAATAGATTAGTCCCTCATACAGAGCACTTACATGTACAGATGCTGGATGTACATTGACTCTTAGGTTTCTCCACAGTGTTCCCAGTCATGAGTATGTTATTTCTATATATCACTATGTTTAAAGTTAGGATAATAACAACTAAATCCATCATCTGATAGCAGAGTAAGGGTAAGCATGAATGCTTATTGCAAAATTTTTCCTAATCTTTGTGTGAAACCTGAAGAACCTTAGAGTCAACATCTTCAATATCTTCACTGTTGGGTATCTTTAACAGACATAATTTTATTTGGTGTCTTGAAGCAAAGGCTGTCATTTGGGAGTCTGACAAGGGAAGTCCTCAAAGTTGGAATAAGTACTAACATGTCTTCCAAGGTATCAGCTGTAGCCTTCCATGTTTTTTTGAGGCAGACAATTCTTGCCCATATTCTTGCCCTACCACAACCTTATATCCAAGGAAACTGTAATTTTATATAAAATGATATATATCCAATATATTTAATGGACAACAGCTCTTACCTGCCTTGTTTCTATGACTGTATTACTATGAATAACTCAATCAGGTGTGTTGAATGCTGCCCTCTTCTAAGTTCCAGCTAGATAACATCCATTATTTCAAATTCTCAAATGACAAGAACCAAATTTATAACCTCTTTCAGATACATTTCTATTGCCTTACTTTATGTCTGTGGATAGAACACTATTGCCTTAGTTACCCAGGCTTGAGTCATCAGTCATCTTTGGGTATGAGCATGAAGAGGGAGGGAAAGTCTAAAATTATTATTTCATATTTGCAGTGATTTTGAAAGCTTTTACTTGTTATTTCAATGTTTTTTAATGATCTGATTTTTTAAGATCATTATTTTTCTTTTCATATTGGCACTTATTTGGGACTGAATAATCTTTGCTGCGGGGGGGGGGTGTTGTTCTTTGCAACATAGAGTTTATAGCAGCATCTGATCTTTATCCTCCTATCCCCCTAGTTGTACAACCTAAAATGTCTCAGGATGTTGTCAAATATCCTTTGAAAAAATGGGAATTGGTGGTATAAAGAATGACGGTTTGACTTTAGCAATTATATGGGTAGTGTCAGTGACTGATATATTGAAAAACGCTGGAAGATGTAAACATTTAGGAAAAGACATTGAGCTTATTTAGTTGAAGGGGTTTTTGAGGTCTAGCTCAGAGATATAATTCTCATGATGGGTAGATTAAAGTTGACAACATAGATAAGATTATTGATGGTTAGGGGATTTAGTGAGAAGAGATGACCTACTACATAGTTGTGAGGAACTAACATGAATTATTAGAAAGAAAGGAATGAGCTTTCAAAGGAGGCAGGGAACGAGTAGCCAGAGAGGTAGAATGAAAACCAGGATGGCATCATCTCACAGAAGATAAAGGATTGGTACTTCAAAAAGAAGAGAATGGTCCATAAAATAGAATGTTGCTATGAGTTCAAGATGAGAACTGAAAAGATGTCAACTGTATTTAGCAATAAGAATGGGGAGATTGTTGTTTTTCTCAACTTTAAGATTTATTATACTCCTTTGACAAGATAGTGGTGAAAGAATCTCGAAAAATGAGTGTAGGAATAAAATTTTTTAATTGTTATTATTTTTTGTTTTGGGGCCATACCCAGCAATGCAAAGAGGTTATTCCTGGCCCTGTGCTCAGAAATTACTCCTGCCAGTGCTAAGGAGAAAACTATATGGGATACCAGGAATTGAATCCAGGACAGCTGTGTGCAAGGCAATTGCCCTACCCACTGTACTATCACTCTGTTCCCTAGAGATGAAGTTTTAAGCTTACTAATTTAGATGAATGCTCATGTCATTCATGTCCAATCTATCTCCTTATGTATCAGGCATGTGTGCCAGGAAATAGGCACATGCTTGCTTGCTCACTTTCTTCCCCTTCCTTCCTTCCTTCCTTCCTTCCTTCCTTCCTTCCTTCCTTCCTTCCTTCCTTCCTTCCTTCCTTCCTCCCTCCCTCCCTCCCTTTCTTCCTTCTTTCCTTCCTTCTTCTTCTTCCTCCTCTTCCTCTTCCTCCCTGCTCTTTCTCCCTCTCCTCCTCCTCCTCCTCCTTTTCTTCTTCTTCTTCTTCTTCTTCTTCTTCTTCTTCTTCTTCTTCTTCTTCTTCTTCTTCTTCTTCTTCTTCTTCTTCTTCTTCTTCTTCTTCCTCTTCCTCTTTTTCCTCTTCTTCTCTTCCTTCTTCTTTCTTTACCTTCTTCTTCTTCTTTCTTCTTCCCAACCTGATTTCTGTATTTAGAATTTTCTTTTATAAAAAATCCTCTGTTGGGGCTGGTGTGATAGCAGAGGGGCTAGGGCTTTTGCCTTGCACGCAGTTGACCCGAGTTCAGTTCCCAGCATCCCATATCGTCTCCCGAGCACTGCCAAGACTAATTTATGAGTGCATGAGCCAGGAGTAATCCCTGTGCACTGCTGGGTGTGACCCAAAAAGCAAAAAAAAAAAACAAAAACAAAAAAATAACCTCTGTTTTAGGAATTTATAAGGGTATTTCCTTAAATTTTGTTATCACTATGACTCAGAAGAAATGTTTTTAACCTTAAATCAAAACTTTGCTAGGCAGCATACGGATATACCATAATTTGTTTACCCATATTCCCAGAAAAGGATATTTGGGTTGTTTCTGCATTGTGAATATTATAAATAGAATGGCTATAAACATTCATAACCATTAACTAAAAATGTTGCCTAGAATTCATGATGAGCATAATTCTTTTTTTTCCCAGACTTACAAATTTTTGTGCTTGGGTTTCAGTTATACAATGATCAAGTACCCATCCCTCCACCAGTGCCCATCGTCCACCACCACAGGTCCCAGCATCCCTCCCACCCCCCATCTCCCCATCCCACGCTGCCCCTGTAGCAGGACATTCCCTTTTGTTCTCTCTCTCTCTCTCTCTCTCTCTCTCTCTCACTCTCTCTCTCTCTCTCTCTCTCTCTCTCTCCCCTTTTGTGTTCTGTGGTTTGCAAGAGAGGCATTGAGTGGCAATCATGTTGGGTCTATAATCTACCTTCAGCATGCTTCTCCCATCCTGGGAGGATCCTCCCAACACCCTTTATTTGGTGCTCCCTTCTCTATCTGAGCTTCCTTTTCCCCTAACACGTGTGGCTGGCCTCCAAGTCATGGAGCAAGACTCCTGGTACTAGTCTCAGCGACTCCTGGGTGTTAGTCTCCCATTATGTTACTTGATGTTCCCCAGATGAATGCAATCTTTCTGTGTCTATCCCGCTCTTTCTGACTCATTTCACTTAATATGATACTTTTCATGTAGTACCATTTGTATGTAAATTTCATGACTTCATCTTTTCTAACAGCTGCATAGTACTCCACTGTGTAAATGTACCAAAGTTTCTTTAACCAGTCATCTGTTCTCAGGAACTCAGGTTTTTTCCAGATTCTGGTAATTTAGGTTTAGTATTGCTCTGACTTTCTTCAGTTTTATAGAAATTCACATTTCTGTAATGCTGAGCCTAAAGAATAAAGAGTTACGATTGCATAGTCATAGGATTAGGAATATAACACTCGTTTTCTAAAATCATAATTCTACTCTTGGGGGAAGGGCGGGCTTCACTTCTATGTCCATGAATTTACTGATTCATTCAAACTCTGGAAGGAAAATATCTCTTTCACTAATTATGGGAAACAGCTTGTTAAGCAAATGACAAATATAAGAAGATTGCTATGGGGATGCTTAAACTGTTTCAAAGGGGAAAGGTTCTTCAAGACTAGTTACTTAGCAACAGTTAAATATGTAAATTAGATATACTTTTGGAATTCAAGTCAATTTATTACATCGAAAGCTACATGAGAAAGTCTAATTCTAAATTTTTTTAATTCAAAATTTTCAGGGCTGAATGATAACACAGCAGATAGGGCATTTGCCTTGCACGCAGCCAAACTAGGTTCAATCCCCAGCATCGCAAATGGTCCCCCGAGCACAGCCAGGAGTAATCCCTGAGTGCATGATACAGGAGTAACCCCTATGCATTGCTGGGTGTGACCCAAAAAGCAAAAAAAAAAAAAATGTTTTTTTTCAAGTTAATTTAGAAGAGTTCAGCTAGTTAGGTTTGATTTGTCCAAATACAAGTTGAGGGTGTTTGTAAAATCTGGTGTACTCTGTTTCATTTGATAATACATGTTTTTGAATGGGTCCAGCCAAAGTCTTAAAATTCATCCCATGACATGTCCTGTTCCTCAGTTACTTTCATGTGACTCTTCTCTTTTCTTCAGATAAAGAATAAGAATAAGAGAATGCTTCAGAGTGACTACATTAACATGACCCGTAGGAGAATGGTGCCTGCCCCCAAGTACTACCAGCCTTATGCCCCAGCACGTGACTTTGCTGCCTACCGCTCCTGACATGGACGCCTATCCAGATGCCAGCCGGCTGGCATCTCTTCACCTGTTCCACATCACTGCTCTGGATAGGAAATGACTGCCTGACTTCAGCCAGCCACCAAGTACCCTGTTAGGCCAGCAACGTCAATTTTCTTGGAATGACTAGACCAATGAACACCATTTTGAGACTCTGAAGCAAAGTTCAAGAATATTGGTGTGGCATAATAAATCTTGCAATGCCACAACCAAATTAAAATTTACAAAGTATTTATTGACTTGATTGCAAGGGTAGGATAGTAAACAAAAAAGTGGATTTTGGTAGCCTTGAAATTGACTCCCAATTCCATTCTTTTCCTGTGCTTTTGTTCAAGCATAGTTTAATATTGAAAGACTCTTTAGAAGGAGAAGAATGGTTTGGAAATTATTCCTTTTGATTAAATGGTGGGTTTATAGATGGGATAGGTTAGAGTGGGGGAGGGGTAGGAGTGCTTAATCTTTTGGGAAAACCATGTAAACACTGCCTCTTACTCATAAAATGAACCACTTAGTTCCTATTTAATGCTATTTTCCTTTTAGTTTAGAGAGTTTACTTGTTTCTTTAGTTAGACACTATCAGGATGAAGTCTGGTTGTGTTTAGTCATTTTGTCCTTCGGAACAAAGGGAGATAAACTCACTTACTTTCCTCACTTCCTGCGCTGGGAATTCAGTGTTGTCTTAACAATAAAATTTCAAAGAATAAAGTGGTTCCTTCATGCCCTAAAGGAACGTATCAGAAAAGAAGGCCTCTTGATGTAAATATGGTTTGAATACAAAGAAGGATTAGTTGTTTGGCAGGTCTTCCAGTCAAATCCTAGAGAGTCCTTTTCTGTGTCATATAGTTCAGGTTTGCAGTGTTGGTCTCTCTGCTGTCTTGCATGAAAGTCAGGAGGGTTAGATGAAAGAGTATCTGTAGGAGAAGAAATGCTCCTGTGTAGAAGGAGGCTGTTAGCGTTCATTAGGTTATGGGGGAGCTTCTTATGAAGGATGGGTGGTGATATGATTCTTTCTATGTGCTGAGGGAAGCTTTTAGGGAATTGTGAGGAGAAGGCACCTTGGAGAGAGTGGCTGTGCAGGAACTTCGTGCACTTCAGCGGTTACAGCTCCAGAGGTCTGGTGTAGCCCATTAGGTTTCTATTTATCCTGGAAGTATATTAATATGGAAAAGGATTTTGGAGTGCATTTGTTGAGACACCATCAAAATTCTCAAGATACTCTGTGAGGCATGACACAAAATGACTCTGGATATTTTTCTGCTTCAAGTTAGGGTCAATTGGAGTACATCTAGAGACCTCGGAGGAAAGCTCTACTATTGCTTATATGCTTTGTTCCTATTTCAATGAAATAAAATATTAGGAAAAACCTAGATTTTAGATACAGGGAGTCCTTTGGTCCTTGGTTAAAAATCCATTGCCTTTTTAAAATAATGATTAACTATAAAATGGAGATATGATCATTAGTACCTGTCTCGTATTATAATCATGAAAGTTTGACGATTATTGTGTCTTTTTTATGCCTGTTTCTAGCATTTGTCACTATACCTGATACATTTTTTCTATTAATATTATTGCACTATAGATAAATTATGTATGCAAATTAAACTTGGAACCGATCTGGGAAAGGAGAGAATATTGCGACACAAATGAAAACTCACCATCCAGGGATGAGGTGCTGAAAATCTGAGACTTTTATTGTCTAGTGTTTTTCTGTTTCTTGGATAATTCAGCTTACAGTGAAATGCACAGCATTCTTCACTGTTCCAGCCCACACAGAAATAAGTCTTCTTTAATTTTTCTTTAATATGTGAATAGGAACCCTATGCTTCCAGACAGAAAATGCTGTACTTTGGTTAAATTTTAAAAATGTATTTTCATTCAATTTCATTACTTAATTCAGAGAAGAACAAATTCATCAGTGCCTGGGTGAAGAAATTTATATTGGTACAAGTGCTATATTGCCAGTCTCTTGGCCAACAGTGTTATCAGTTTGGATTTGAAAATGACAGATTTGGATAATTTATAGAAAGGGCAATGGTAAAAAATAAACAATTGAAAATGGAAATATGTGGTAGCATGCGGTTTTATTTTCAGGTAAGAAAAATAGATTTCCAACAGATGAATCACACTTTATATTTTTCTCACTCTAACAGAACCAAAGCAGAATTGACAACGGGGAAGTGCATTTTCAATATTAGTATGAACCAAGAAATGGTTTAAAAGCAGAGGTTGGAGCAATGCTTCTACCATTTCTAACATGGTATTTATGAAGAAAGCAATATCCTCTGATGCTATTATTTTAGAGCTGTTAAAATTAATAGTATTTTTAAAATAAGTTTTGTTGTTAACTTACTTATTTGGGGCAGGCCATTCCATTTTATAGAGATCTAATGTACAATATGTTCCATATATTCAGTGGTAATATTACTGATCTGTATGTGCCTATTGTAAATTTTTTGTTTAATAGTGTCTTTTAGCACAGGCATTGCATGGCTTTTAGTTATGAATATGGAGAGAATTATAATTTAGGAAAAGATATGGGATAAATGTACTTGATAAAATATCCAATTTACCCCTAAAAATATTTAGATTTTTCAAATATTAGCTTTCCTTCAAGATAGGCATCTTACTTCTACTTTGCTTGGTTTTAGTCACAACTTCTCACCTGATAATTATTTACATTTCTAAGATGGCAGACTGGGTTTTACATTTTATGTGATGTGAATAGTCAATGAAATATTAAACTTCTGCCTTGACCCCAGCCCCTTCAGTTTACAAGCTCAGACACTGTTCTCAGGGCTATTTAATATGAATGTCAATGGCTAAACAATTATAAGAGTCCTCATTTTAGTTGGCTACTGTCCTTGGGGAATCATAACAGGCTTGGGGATGGATTTAAAGTTTTTAACTCAAGGACATGCTGATGTTTTGGGATGATAGCAAGGATGAATTTAGAATGAGAGCCATCACTCTAGATCTTTTATTAGCCCAGATCAAGGAGAGGAACAAGAATTCTCTCAAGACCTGTTCTGAGCAGTTTCTTAGGACTTGCAGGGGCATTCAACAAAATGCTGTCTATTATATATGTGCTTTTTTGACATATGCCTTCTCCAACATCACAGGTATGTTCCCACCTCAAAGCCTCAAAATCTTTACACATGCTCTTTCTGCTATCTGGAATGTTCTTCCCAGATATTTACTAGCTTGCTCTCTTCTCTCCCTCAAGTCCCTGCACCAGTAACATCTTCTATCCTTGTTAAATTTCTTTATACCCTATGTACTTATTTTGCTTATTTTTTTTGCTTATAGCATCTCATATTACTTTACCTACTTGTTTATGATATTTTTCTCCAAGAGAATGTCAGCATCTTTACCTGCTTTATTTATTGCCATACACACAATGCCTTGAACTGCATTAATTTTACATCATTGTAAATCAATAATCATTATAACTGTCCTAATAATTTCAGAAAACGTCAGTTGTTCTTTTTAAATTAAAAGTTAAAGGACACTTTATTGAGAGATTAGAGGTAAAACATATGTAGATAAACATGTTAAAAGAAAACATGCTGAGTATAAGTTCATTTGCACCTTAGGCATCTTGATGCAGTGAGGAAAACCAATACTGTTAGAAAGCATATTAAAAAGTCATGCTAAATAAGACACAGCCAAGAGTAAGTTGGTTTCCCATTGAAATCCCAAGATTCCCTCTTAATGAAGAACTGTCTTCTAAACATGCCTTTAGGCACAGAATTCTGAAAACGTTGTCTTTGTGGCTAAAATCCTATTCTAATAATGAATTATTGTTCTTTTCTTGTGGAGTGATTTGGTCTTAACTAATCCTATAAAAGTCTTGCCTGACTATGATTCAAAAAGAACTCAGTGATGGAACTGCTAGGAACAGACAATTTCAGTTTCTTCATCTGTCACTCTCAAGTCATAACTGAACATGCTGATGGGTTGTAATCTTTTAAAAATAAAAGAAAAAATGAACAAAATTTTATCACTTAGAGAATATTGAAAATTCAAATCAGGCTTATTTATCACATTAAACAACTCACACACAAACATACACACAAACATACATACAAAATCATCAAAGAAGTGAAGAATTTCCAAAAAGAACTTGAGTTGGTCTTATAGCAGATCCTGCTTATTTCATCACAAACTACATTTTTTTTACTTGGAAGGTGGCCTTAAGAAAAATAAGTGTGCAAAGTTCATCTTCAGTCTGTTGTTGAAATGGAGCACATTAAATATAATAAAGGTAAATATACCTTAGAAAGGTGGGCTTACATGCTTCCTCTAGAAAACACTGAACTCAGTCCATCACTCATAGTTACAATAGGGCAAATCAAATCAACTAGAAAAAGACAAGACTGATGAAAGTTATCCATTAAGTGTAAGTTCATTATGTACTCCTTTATTGGGCTAATAGAAACAGTGTAACCTAGTTCTGTAAAAAAAAGTTTCTAGTGCCTTTAATTTCCAGTTAAAAATAAAGAAGTAAAAATCATAACTTCACCCTAGAGACTCCTCACCATGTTCTACTTATAGAACTATTTGAACACTATAATTGTTCATAACTATGAATTCAATTTTCCCTCCTGACAAAAAACGTAGTGTTTCATTTGAAAGAAGTACTTTTTCTCCCCTCTCATTTTGTCTGAAACAGAGATAATGAATAAAAAAATGCTGGGAAATATCTGGATTCATCATAATAGAGGCTCTAATAGTACACTACTCAACTGAAAATGGTTGGTTTAGGAACCATATCCAAGCTTGACAACTTTGTTTCTCCTAATATATCCCTGTTTCCCCCAAAAATGGGCATTGCAGAAATCTTAACATGTTGACAATGTCGACTAGAAAGTACTTGACTTTTCAGAAACAAATCTGAGTGAATGGGTTTCTTAGTTTTCTGTTTTTTGTTGTTGTTGTTGTTGTTGTTTGTTTCTTTTTTTGATCCTAAAAGAATGTGTGCATTCCTTTCCAAGATTCACAGTCTCTCAGCATTTAGATACCCAGGACACTGTTCAGAGCAGAATGTAACACACTTTTTTCAATGTGCTTTTGCTTATTTCTGGGTAGGAGGCCTGAATGCAACAGTTGAAAAATGTTTGGAATGAAATATTGATGATCCAAGATTATGTTGCCATTTCCTAGCTGACTTCATTATTA